CCATGTTCTGTTGTATCTTAAGGGCCAAGTGAAACCCCATCAGAGCGTCTTCACACTGTAATAACTAGATTACTTGTGTAAATGAAACTTTGACACAATGGGAGATGCCCTCTATTTGATCACATCTCATTTGTGAATACCTTTTCCCTCTTGTGTAAATTCAAAATTGAATCTGTCAAAGCTGATTTCCTCGGCAGCAGTGATTCTGCGTTCCCGGCACGTCGTCTGTTGTGCTCCTGTCTCTGTGGTATTTTTCTCTGTTCTTAAGCTAAGCACACCTTCCAGACCATCTGTGATAGTCAACAGCTCTTGCATTTATATGAGAGATGAGGGAGGCTGAAACAGGGTAGGGATGGGAACTTCAAAATGGGGGATTTGAGGAATGGATTGCACCCACTGACGGTGTTTTTAATTCGTCAGTTGTTGAATATCGAAAACCAGATAAGTTCACAAACATATAAAATGTATTAAAAATCTCCCCCAGGACGGTTCTGAGTGTGAGGTTGTGGAGGATGCAGCAGACTAATACGGTCTGATTATGAGTGTGCAGCATCACTCTGTTCAGACACCTCAATCTGCTCTTGAATAAGAAAGTGTGCTCGACTACATCACATGTCTAGATATGTTTTATTATAATGCTTATCTCCTTCACTTGATCATATTTTGATTAATTGAATGGAATTGAATCAACACTGAACTTAATTGATCTGAAAAATGACACAATTGTCTTCTTTAGAGCTGCTTTATGGCTGGATAGAATTTGTTTTGCAATTGATGAACTTTGTAACATTGACTCTGCCATTGAACTGAATCAAATCAACTGACTTGACCCGAGGAATGGCAATCATCTACTGTAGAGCTGTTTTACAGCAGTTTGTCAGCTGTTTTAATTTAGTCTTAAGCCCCGTTCACACCAAGAACGATAACTATAAAGATAACGATATTAGCGTCCACACCAGCGAACGATATCGTCTGTTTATTCTAAGCGCACAATTTACAAGCGCATATTTAGCCTGAAAAATAAGCTTTTTTAACGCTATCTGAACATGGGAAACAATAGGTTGTTGTCAGATTTCATTTGTGATTTGAAATTTAATTGTAAGCTTGGTGAACAGTATTGGAGAATCTGATGTTTCCCCATTCAAAGAGATAGGAGCCGTACTTGCATGACTGAAATAGCTGTGCGAGAGGCGTTTCAAATATGGCTGCGCCGAGTGAAATGACTTGCCTTAAAGGGAATTTTAGTGTCATTTTTGGAGGTCTATATTTTTCTCCTCTTTTTGTTGAAAAAAATTTACAATTAACAATAAAAAGTAAACTTAAGATGTCATGTACAGGTATGTGATTTTTACATCAAAAGTGATTATTTTATTAGCCTCGAAATGTAAGTTAATACATAAATATGGTATTATACATGTTGTCATAGGCAAGGATTTAAATGTAGCACTCAATTTCAATCAAGAGTTGCACTGCTCTGGCTGTCTATCCATCAAGACATCCTTGTCCTTAAAAAGATTAAAGAACACTGGTTTAGTGATGTTTATCCCTAAATGTTACAAAAATGGTATTAGCAATATCTAAAAAATAAAGCAGGGAACTTTTCTTTGTTGTAAGTTGATGTCATGCTTCAATAAAAAGCATTCACAGCATCATAAAGGCATAAAGGTTCATGAATTATAGTTATGAACCTTTATAGAATAGTAATAAAATATTCTAGTTTTTATTGTTAAAAAAAACCCTAATTAATATCATCTGTCATCGATCTGATCACTGAAGTTAACATGAAATTAAAATTGACCCTATTTATTTTCTTAATTCACATTTTTGATCATTAGTGCATGTAAGGCCCCTAAAACAATTTTACTTTTTGAGTGATATTTTATTTTTTCATTTTTTCCCATCCAACCACCTGGCTCTATTATTTTGACAGTCTTTGTATTCTTTGTTATTGCAGTTAACGTATTAAAATGCAAAAAAGTACATATTGCCAGAGGTCTGCTTCAGGTAAAGTGGGCCTTGAACCTTCACTGATTCTATTCACATTCACAAAATAAAATGACATTCACTGATTATTTTAGAATTGACTTTTTAGAAAGCGGAAATAAGTGTGCAGTCAGGATTCAAGTTAGGAAGAAAGGATAGAGCGGAAGAGCAAAGAGGAAACAGAAATGAAGATGTAGCATGAAGTTGAATTTGGAGTGAATATGAGAGGAGCAAAGCTTTAAAATATGATCACAATTAAAGTTACTATAAAGTGTTTCAAGTTAAATATCTTTTTTCATGCCACATTACTCAAGGCAGGGTTGCAAAAGGTGTTTCATGTTCCCTATTTCTAACGAACTCAGTTTTCATGGCACAGCAGATTGATTTTGAGCTCTGCATAGAACAGACGACAGTTGTCAGTGATCAAATATGTGCATGCACTCAGATGCTCTATGGCTGCATGTGTTTTCTATGGTGACGTGCTCTGCCACATGCTGCTGTTCTGCTTTGCAGCGCTATGCATTATTTACAAGTCCATCAAGTTCTAGCGCAACTTGTTAAAAATAAATCCACTGATTAATTAATGGCAGAGTGTTGAGGGAAAAAGGGGCCACCTATTTGTCTCCGGTCTGATGATACAAACATGTCGCTTCATTTCTGTTGCTGTCCTTGACTCCCTGCCTTAAAGTACTGACAGGAGACACAATGGGAACTTCAAAGAACCTAATTTATCACCTATATTAAGCTAAAGTTTTTGTTTTTAAAAATGACACATTTTGTGGAAAATTAAAAATGTTTTGATGTAAAGACATATGCTTAAATGCTTGCAATTAGTATTTTCTGTATTTTTGACAAATATCTGTTATGTGAATTCGAATGAATACTAAAAATAAAAATAAAAAAACTTCTTAATGTACAAACAGCAGGACTTCAATTACATTCACTCCAAACAAGCCACATAGCAAATATAACAATATTTAACCAATCACAAGATATCATGCATCCCTGCTTCAAAAAATAAAACGTTAACACTTTATTTTAAGGACCAATTCTCACAATTAACTAGCATGCATATTACTAGCATATTGGCTGTTTATTAGTACTTACAAAGCACATTTTAATTACATTTACATTTTCCTTCTTCTGCATGACCATATTTTAGATTTATAAGGAGCATTATATTAATAATTGTTGTTATATTAATTATATTATATTAAATATAGCTGCAAGCAGCAATTACCAGGGTTCAAGCACTTCAAGGCCTTTATGGCTTCTATGCTGTTAGGGTGTAGGCCAACGTGAAATGTATGGCTGACACCAGAACACATCCACAATGGAGAATACGATCACACGTAATGAACTATATTACTTGGTTAAACTATATTACTTAATACACGCTGTATTACTTAATACACTAAGCACTAAGCATGCTCTCACTCACACACACACACACACACACACACACACATTTTGTTGTAGATATAGATATTTGAAATAATTAATAGGTAACAAAATGCTTACTGCAAGTCTCCTGTTCATAATTCCATTTTTTTTCAGGTTTAACTGTAATCATGTGGCATAATTGTAAAAATTATATATCTGTATAAATGAAGTGGTAAACTTTGACTAAATGTGATTTTTAAATGTAATAACAATGATTTCATAATGTCTAAATGTAAATTCAAAAGTAAAACCTGAGAAAAGAAGTATAGTAGTGAGTAGAATGAGCCAATGAGGTTCTCTGCTGCCATCTAGTGGTTATAATTGCAATTTCAGGGAATTTACCATATACAGTAAATAGTGTTTTTAGCCTTTATTACTATTATAGTGCTAATTTTGTCCAATGTCCATAAAATTTTGCATGATTGTTTAGAACCATATGATGCATGAGTTGACTTAGTTTTGAGTTTTATTTTAGGATTTGCAAGATTTTGGGTACACTAGATCAAGACCATATTTTAAAATGACTGTTATAGCTGTCAAAATGCAAAGGTTCAGCATTTTTTTTTGTGATAATTATTGACCTAGAGACTCCAGAGAATTGTACTGCACTGATTTTATTCATTTTAAAAACCTAGGACTAGTTCACAAAAGTAGTTTTTTAAATGATCTCAAATATTTAAAGAACAATTTGATTGACAACAGTGATCCTAGAGGCAAAGTTGATCAGAATGAGGAGATCTATTGTATGATATGAAGATCAAGTGTATGTCTGAAACAATACGTAATAAATGTACATTTTCTGTGATTTCAGTTAATTTACCACATAAATATTATGTTTTTGACACCTTTTTAATTGTTATAGCGCCAGCTATGGTCTGATCTCATTGAAACTTTGCATGGTTGTTTAGAATCTTATGTCGCATGTGCTCACCTGTTTTCGTGAAGTTCTGAGTTTTTAGAGATATAGGCTTTTGTGTATATTTAGCCACGCCCCTGTTCTAAATGACCCCATTATAGCTACGCGAAGGTTAAAGTTTGTTTGATAATTATTGATCTAGAGCAGGGGTAGGCAAGTTCGGTCCTAGAGAGCCGCAGTCCTGCAGAGTTCAGCTCCAACCCTGAAAAAAAAACTCACCTGCCTATAGCCTTAGTAATCCTGAAGACACTGATTAGCTTGTTCAGGTGTGTTTGATTAGGGTTGGAGCTGAACTCTGCGGGACTGCGGCTCCCTAGGACCGAACTTGCCTACCCCTGATCTAGAGAGTCCAGTGAATTGTACTGCTGTGGCTTTATTGAGGTTAGGTGAAAAACCTAGGACTAGTTCGCAAAAGTAAGTTTTTAACATAATTGAGAATATTTAATGAACGATTTGATTGACAGCAGTGGTCCTTGAGGCAAAGTTGTTCAGTATGAGGAGATCTATCAAATGATATGAGTATTGTGTCGATGTGTGAAACACCATGTGATTACAGAAGCGTAAAACTCGTTAGCGCCACCTAGTGGCCGATTTCTTTCTAAATTATTACAGACCTTTAGGGCCATGAGTCAAACATGCCCACCAAGTTTCGTTCCGATCGGCCTCTGTTAACCTTGTCTAATAGGTGCTCAAAATTCATTGTCTAATGGCGACCATGTTTTTTGAGATTCGCAAATGTCCTCATAGACACTTGTGGCACATTGGACAAAGACACAACATACCAATTTTCAAGCCAATCAGACTAAGGGGTGCGTAGTTATAACCTTTTTTATGTTTTCCCCTGTAATAGCGCCACCAAGTGGCCAAATTCCACTTTTTTTTTTTTTTATTTGACCTCAGATTGAGCTCTTAGTTCCATGTTTGGAAAAAAATATCTCTTTCTATTCAAGAGTTATAGGTGTTTTAGTAAAAGTGGTTCCGCCCCTTACGGATGTTTTGGTGTCCCGTCGCGACAGGAACTCGAAAGTTCACCTTTTTTTGATAATTATTGATATTCACAGCCACTACCATCCCTCCAACTTTCAAGTATCTACGACTTATGGGTGAAGAATGCTGATCCTTGGCCATTCTAACAATTACAATAAGGTTTCAGCACTATGCGCTTCAACCACTAATCCTCACTACGCACACCCTAATAAGGAGCAAATTGGTAGTTTATTGAGGCAAAAGTCATAGTTAATAGTTAGGTAATTGTGAGAACTGGACCTTCAAATAAAGTGTGACCAATAAAACAAATAATAAATATATTTATTTCAGAAATCATTAATACCATATGTTATACCAGGGTTGTACACCAAGTTTAGTTTTCTTTTTTTCTTCTTCTTTTTATACCAATAAACTGGGTGCATTTGAAACATTTCTGCTTTTACATTAGAATAGGCTTGATGAACATAGAACAGTTGTTCTAAGCCAGTTTCTAGAAACCAATGATGGCATTTGGTGCTAAAAATGGCTGCATGAGTATTTTGCCACGCAACAGCATGATGCCTCATCAAGCTGGACAGCGTTTCTAACCAGGATTGCTGGTGAACATTTCTGTGCATTGCAAATGAGCCTAGTATAAGGCAGGTTTATAAGATGAAGAGCGAACAGAACTAAGACAAGAAAATAACAAAGGCATTTTTCCCAATTTGGTTGTAGTGATGGAGTAGTTTCTTGTGTGGACAGTTCAGTATATTTAATCAAAATATGAACTGGCTGACTTACTGTACATCAAGCTTTTCACTTCCCTAATGAGTGAAAAAGGCATGTGCTCATTTATTTATCAGAGAGGAGAAGTGCTGCTAATTGAGTCTTGCTTATGGTTAGAAGCTGCACATGGCGAGTTCTTTGATTATACTGGAGGGACCGTTTTGCTGTTTGCACATTTAAGAGGATGACTGTGGATTGGAAAGCTGTACTGGTGATTCTCCTAGGAGACACAAGAACAGATGCATATTTCCATAAGTCCGAGCCAATATTTATTTATTTAATTCTGCTGCTTTAAATAAGACAGGCACAGAGCAAAAGGGACACCAGGCTTGACAGATAATGAGGAATTCAGGGAGCACTTCACAGGCTCGGGAGGATAAAAATATCAAGGATTAAACTAAGACAATCTAGAACGCTTGTACTTATACTTCATTCATACACATAATAATATGAGTATAATTGTGCATATTTGTGTAGTTTTGAAAGATATGTGTTTCCGAGTAATGAACTGATTTTCATGCACAGCCTTTGAATGGGAAAATGCATACAAAGATTGTATAATTTACAATTATATCTGGACAAATGTCATGAAATATTTCATATTTCAGTTTAATAAAAAAGCAATAATTTGCGTCAGGAACATTTAGGCTATTTTAAATGTCATTAACACTGTTGGATTGTGAAATTATTGTAACAATTAAAGGAACAGTTCACCCCAAAAATTAAAAATTGCAAAGAATTTACTCATCTTCAGGCCATCCAAGATGTAGGTGAGTTTGTTTCTTCATCAGATTTGGAGAAATGTAGCATTGCATCACTTGCTCGCCAATGGATCCTCTGCAGTGTTGGGGAAAGTTACTTTTAAAAGTAATGCATTACAATATTGCGTTACTCCCTAAAAAAAGTAACTAATTACGTTACTTAGTTACTTTTTATGGAAAGTAATGCGTTATATTACTTTTGCGTTACTTTCGCATTACTTTTTAATTTATGTCACGGCCAGCTCGTTCCCGACCGTCACAATATAAGCAGGGCTTGATTGTTTTTAATATAAGAAGTTCTATTTATAGCAAATATAAAAGCCCTTTCACACCAAAAAGTGTAATGAATAAACCTCAGGCTGAAGCAAAAGTACATTGAACAAAATTACAAACGCAACACTTTTGTTTTTGCTAATCCACACAACTCCAGTCCATCAGTTAACATCTTGTTAAGTAAAAAGCTGTATTTGTAAGAAAAAAACTATAATAAAGGTGTTTTAACGTTATACTGTTGCAAAAATACGAGTCCATAATCCATAAAAACGCTTCCTCCAGTGAAAAGGTCCATCCCCTGTTGTCCTCGCAAATCAAAATCCACAATTTTTGGATTTTTTTTTTCACATTATAGCAATGAGAATTTGAAGTGGAAATCATTTTATTTTAGCAAAATATAATTCCATACTACTTTCTTTTGATTTTTAATGTAAAACATGACATATTCTTGACAGGTTTCAAGAGACTTAGCCAGCTACCTTCTGTTTACTGAAAACATCAGTGGAACTGTGAAACTGATGTGTTTTTCTTATCACAATTACAGCCTTAGTATATAAAGAAATTAATGCAAAAGAAATTCAGTGATTAGTCAACTTACTAACTTTTCATTTTTATCTTTGTATCACCAGGTTATGATACAGTATTTTAATCCAAGTGTTTTCCGGTGTATTCTCCTGAGATGGGTCCGTTTGCTCGGATTTGCCATCGTCTACGGAACAGTGATTCTCAAACTGTACAGGTACAAATAATGCCGCCAGCTTCACAGTAAACAATCATGTTTCTGCTGAAGTCTGCATAAGAAAAACGTGTTGCTTTAGTTTACCACTTTTTCATATTTGTGTCCTGTCCTTGTTTCTCATACCAAGGGTTTTGAAGGTGTTCCTGTCCCGCACCGCCCAGCGGATCCCGTACATGACCAGCTGGAGGGTTCTGCGTCTGCTTGCTGTGATTTTGCTGGTGGTTGTGTGGTTCCTAGTGGCCTGGACCTCAGCCGCATGCCAGAGCCACGACACCCATCACGCCCTCATTGACATCGCTTATACCCCAGAGGGCCTGCAGTTCAGCATGTGCCTGATGGACAGCTGGGACTACATGATGGCTGCTGGTCAGTTCATATGCTTATAGTTATTCTACCATAACCAGCATTGGAGAGCAAAATACAGACAGCGGCCCAATTAAAAATGTCATTAGATTAGGGCTGTCAAAATGACTGAAAAACTAAATTCGAATTTTCCACTTAAATATCATCAAAATTCAAATTATATTCGAATTTAAAAGGCATAATTTCAGTTAGGGGGAAAAAAAGCTTTTGGCTTCTCTCCTGAGGCCACAAGAGGGTGCATCGAGCAAAATATTATGCACGTTTCATCAAAGCGTAATAAAATAACATGACTATCTTTGAAAAAAAGTGCATAATGTTTAAAATAATGTTTATAAACCATATATAATTAATAAAGTTGCTTAAACAATTAGAAAAAAAAAAACAGCACCATGCATGTACAGGTGCATCTCAATAAATTAGAATGTTGTGGAAAAGTTCATTTATTTCAGTAATTCAACTCAAATTGTGAAACTCGTGTATTAAATAAATTCAATGCACACAGACTGAAGTAGTTTAAGTCTTTGGTTCTTTTAAAAGAACCAAAGACTTAAACTACTTCAGTCTGTGTGCATTGAATTTATTTAATACACGAGTTTCACAATTTGAGTTGAATTACTGAAATAAATGAACTTTTCCATGACATTCTAATTTATTGAGATGCACCTGTATGTATAGTTTAATACAAAGGACCGAAAACCAATTACAAAGAGTAAGCTACTTTCTTCATTTTAAAACATGAGATACAGTGGGATGGGGAAAACCGCCATAAAGTCCATAAAGTTTAGACAAAGTCTAAATTCGAAAAAAATTCGAATTTTGGTTTTTGACAGCCCTACATTAGATGAGATGCAGATTTAAAAACCAGCAACAAATATTATATGATATCATATATGCTTCATATATTTTTATAATAATATTATAAACAAGTAAAACACGAAGACGTAGATTGCAGAGGTCAAGATCTCACACAACTGCCTCCTTTATTTTTGCTACCAGCAGCCTCAAACAAAAGGAAAATGAGGCAAGAATGCCAAACTCTCAGGGTTATGGATGCAACTTTGACAGAAGAGATGTGGGATGTATAATCGGATCATCTGAGTGTAGCCAGACAGACTTTAAGGCATGAGGGTGTGAGACGTGGCCAGTGATGCAGAGACGGTTCTCTCTGACAGCTCCAGTACCTTCTGCTTATAGCATGAAGCACAGGGGGAACTGCATGGAGACAGCCTGAAAACTCATGACATCTATTCATGCACACAAACAAAGACACTTGCATTATTTCAGTGGCAGAAGGACAAAGACATAAGCTATACTTATTGCTCTTTTTTGTCCTTTTTGAAGACACAAAACTGTCTCAGTTCTCTTATTTTTTAGTTTGTTCATTTTGTTATATTTAACTCAAATAAAACTGAATAAAAACTATATAGACTTTAAAAAAAACACTAACAAAACACAAAACTTACTAAAACTATAATGAGAACTAAACAGATACATCTATAATAGTATCTCAATGACACTAAAATAAGACTGCTTCAGTATTGGTTCAGCAAAACAGTATCACTGTTTTGTTTATTATTAAAAAGCATATTTTGTATTACAAACCAAAAATTGTCTTAACTATTGTCTTTTTTTTTCCATTATCTGTTTTTTCACTGAAAGTTTAGAAATGTTGTAATATTCAGTAGAAGCAGTGAAAATAAATTAAAGTAAATGCAGTTTTTAAAATAGCACATATATTCTTCAGTACACTGTAAGAAAATAATGATATGATCAGTAAGTCATGGCAAATTGGGTTTATTACTGTAACTCATCAAGATAAATTGAGCAGTTTCAACTTTTTTTTATAAGTTATATGAAATTCAACTTTTTAAGTTAGTTTAATGTAATTGTTTTTGTGTGTTTTTTTTTTAAGACCGTTTAATGTCGGAAGTCTGAAAATGACTTGTACAACCAAGTTGGTTATACTTAAACATTTAAGGCAGCAACTGAACTAAAAACTATGTTTAAATAGGTGGGAATTTTTTACAGCGTTTCAAATATTATTTATAGAAAAGTGATTCGATTATGAACGAGTGGTTACAAAGTCTAGTTTCTTTTATAGTTTACAAGTAGAGCCTGACAAAAAAAAATACAAATAAATATATATATATATATATACACAGAACCACTGCCTCCAGAGATATGAGAGTAACTAAACAAAATAATATGATCATCATTTTTTTCAAGAAATGTAGCGATTCAGATCCAGCTCCATTTTATGATTCTGGTTCTTGTAGCAATTCCATTACTAAAGTACTTTTGATGGCTTGTGGTTCAGTGAGACATGTGAATAATTAAAACTTATAGCACATGTCATGAGTTTGAGACCAATGGCTGCATCCAAAACCACATACTTCCCTACTATATAGTAGGCGAAAAACAGTATGTGAACAGAAGTATGTCCAAATTCACAGTACTCATAAAAGAGTAGGCAAATAGTATGACCCAGATTACCTACTACTTCCTTTGTGATTTTGAAGTGTGCATATAATGGACTCTTTAATATCCCATGAGGCCACGGGAGAGGATTTATGAATGGCAGTGACAATGCAACTGACGCTGGCAGGTCATGTGACATTGAAAGCATGGTGAATATAGTATGTCCATATTACATTCATACTACACACATTCATACTATAGAACATACTCTTTTTGCTGTCACAAAGTAACTACTTATTCAAAAAATTACCTACTCAAGTGAGTACGCAATTTCAAAAACTCTCTGAATAAGTACTTACTTTGCAATCGTAAAAAAGTATGTTTTATATAGCATGAATGTGAGTATTATGAATGTAAAATGGATGTACTATTATCTGTCATATAGTCATTGTCGTGTCCTACCAGCGCCATTTGCTTTTCTTCACTGGGACCTCATGGGATAGTAAAGTGTCCATCAGATGCACACTTCAGAATCTCGCCAGAAATAGTAGGTCATCTAGAAACTTTCTGCCTGCTGTTTTATGAAAAATGTGAATCTGGACATACTTCTCTTTCACAAACTGTTTTTTCACCTATTTAATAGTAGGGAAGTATGCTAATTTTTGCAGCCACTTTGTGAGTCTTTTTGGCCGATTCATTAAAATGAACCATTTGGTGATTTATGTTGGCATGCAACCATTGAGTTGTGCTGTCTATTTATAGCCATTTTCTCTCATTATACTCACATCAGACTGTAAATTCCACAAATCAGCTAAAATGAATGATTTTGCTGTGGCGCTGTAGATTCAGTAGCTATGCGGCAAATATCATAGTATTTTTCTTCAGTCCATGTAGGTGAAAGAATGCAGAAAAAACATAAAAATTATTTGATTTAAGTATTTAAAAGAAGAAACTGATTCTGAATGACAAATGGTTCTCGATTCCTAACACTACTGCTTACAAATTATTATGAATGCTTAAAATATGAAAAAAAAAAAACTAAAATGAACTTTTTTCTCTATTTCTGTTTTATCACGTGATAGAAAGTCTAAGGCCTTCTTAAGCCGTACGGCTGACTCATCTAATCTGCGGCCTGTTATGCATCAAACTAATATTGCTGTTGAGACAAAATGCAATGCCATCAAGTTAGCATTTTTAAACATTCATTAACTAAAAAATAAATCATTTCTAATCAATGACTTAATAACCACAAACATGCTATATAAATAAACTTGCCTTGCCTTGCCTTGCCTTGCCTATTCAAATACTAACATATATTTTGTTTTATAAGTGATATAAAAAAATATATGGTCACTTTAGTGTGAGGACCAATTCTCACTATTAACTAATTATTAACTATGACTTTTGCCTCAATAAACTCCTAATTTGCTGATTATTAATAGTTAGTAAGGTAGTTGTTAAGTTTAGGTATGGGATGGATCAAGGGATCTAAAATACGGTCATGCAGAATAAGTCATTAATATGTGCTTTATAAGTACTAATAAACAGCCAATGTGCTAGTAATATGCATGATAATAAGCAAGTAGTTAATAGTGAGAATTGGTCCTACACTAAAGTGTTACCAAATATATAAATGTATGGCATGATTATGGAGTTTAAAGATTAGGCAAATTCCGTTTGGATTTGTAATGTTGTTGTTTCAAACGCCGCCTTCAAGATGTTCATGCACCGTCGACTTGGTGTTACTTTGAGTGATGCAGCAAACGAGAGAGTGAGGGGAAACAGCCTTTCAGGCCGTGTGAAATCACATCTTTTCAGCTGGAATTTCCAGACTTGACACACTAAATAATTAGTGACGGCCTTGTGCTGTGTCTCCTTGTGTTCCTGTTCCAGCGGAGTTCCTGTTCCTGCTGTGGGGTGTCTATTTGTGCTATGCTGTAAGGACCGTTCCCTCAGCTTTCCACGAGCCTCGCTACTTGGCAGTCGCCAATTATAATGAACTCCTCATCTCTGCAATATTTCACATCATTAGGTGAGCAATGTGCATTAGTTATGAGTAGCAACGGCAGAAGCATGATTAAAATGACATGCTTCCCATGTTTATTCATGAGACGGCTCTCTGCATTTGTGAGTGGAATGCAGCACCATACTTGAGGAATAACATGAGAGCTGAAATGCAAATTAAATACAAACTGATTTTCTGAGGTTCATCATGTGCAAAGAGTTCTGTTACAAACAAAATTAAAAAAAAAACCTTTCTCCAAAAAAAACAAAAAACAAAAAAATGTCTGGTGAAAATGGCTGAAAATGGTTACATCAAACATTTCCCTTACTTTGTGTTTTCAGTTAGCCTTTATTTAGCAATTTAACAACTTTTCGAATTTTTTCAAATTTTAAAACAGATTTTAAAACACTAGGCGTCATACACTGGCCAAATTTGTAAATGGTTACAGTGAAAAACAGGACATCATACGCTAAATGATTACACACTACCAGACTTTTTGTTCTGTGGGTTATGTGCAACAAACTTCCATGTTCTGTAAAACAGGTCACATCGCTTCTGGTTTGGGTCTTTTGTATGTGTTTCTTTAAATATAGAGCTGTTTTACTCAAGATGTGCATCACATATGCGGATTGATATCCCAAAGTTTATTTTTCTTCTTCTCACCAACATTTGGATATTAATATATTGGAATAAAACGCCAACAACTAATAGAACTAGCTAGGTTAGCTACAAAGTCCATAGATATTGCCATCAGTTCATACTGCTATTAACAATTTCTCCAGATCCAATGAGACCTGTTTTCCAGTTTGTTCCTGCGATGTTCAGCATAAAGCCTATAAACTCTATAGAATCATGCGCCTTATTACTAGGAGCCTCATGAAAAATGGAAACAATATGTTCTAAAATCGGCTTAAAATACACATTACAAAACATACAAAAAACATGTTTGAAATCCTCAGGCTGGATGGAATCATAGCCTGAAGTAAAAAAAAAATCAGAGTCTGCACCCATCATACATGCACTACACAATTTTCTGTGAAATCTGTCAGCTGCTGAAAATCTACAGACTGTCTCTGACTTTTAGCAACTAGTGCAGACTCACCCAAAATGGGTTGGAAACTAAAATCACACACAGAACAACACAGACAACAGTAATAATCAAAAGGTGAAAATTTACTGAGAAGCAAGAACAACTAGAGGGGCCCGACTGACGGAGACGAGCCGGTAGAAGAGGAGCCCAGGGCAGAGACAGAGAGCCGCAGAGCCAAGGTGACACTGAGGATCTGGAGGGCCATGGTGGAGCTGATGGCTCAGGAGACTGAGGCACAAGCGAGGATCTGGAAGACCGTGGTGGAGCCAGAGCGACAGAGAACCAAGGTGGAGCCAAGGGGAGGGAGGAGTCCAACGGAGCCAGAGGGATGAAGGGACGAAGCGAAGCTGGAGTAGTGTAGTCCCGAAGCTTAGGCAGGTGGATGACCGACCAAGGCGGAGCCAGATGGACGAAGGAGCCCAGCGGAACTGGTGGGCTGACGGGCCACGGTGGAGATGAGGGAGCCAAGGTGGAGCCGATGGGTCGAAGGGCCGATGTGGAGTCCGGGTCTCAGAGGCTGGAGGCAGAGACGGGGATCCTCCAACCATGATTTAGCTGGAGACTGGAAGTCCTGCAGTGAATCCACGCAGCTTACCGCACACAGAGGATGAGCTGAGGGACAGACAGGAACCAGCGGAAGCGGTGCCGAGGAAGAGAGGTAGCTGAGGAGAGGACGCTGGAGAGGGAGGCTGGGCAGGAATTCGGGACAGGCAGAGAGTCCATAAACGGCCTCCTTTGTCATGGCTGGACAGGCAGAGAGTTCATAAACGGCCTCCTTGGCCATAACAAGACAGGCAGAGAGTTTATAAACGGGCTCCTTGGCCATAACAAGACAGGCAGAGAGTTCATAAACGGCCTCCTTGGCCATAACAAGACAGGCAGAGAGTTCATAAACGGCCTCCTTGGCCATGGCTGGACAGGCAGAGAGTTCACAGACGGTCCCCATGGCCATGACAGGACAATCTGAGGGTTCACAGGCAGCCTCTCTGGCCGTAGCTGGATAGGTGAAGAGCTCGAAGACGGCCTCCTTAGCCATAACAGGACAATAAGAGGGTTCACAGGCGGCCTCTTTGACCGCGGCTGGACCGGCAGAGAGTTCACACGTAGACGCCGCTGCCTCTGGAGTTTCTACAGCGCAAGCCACCACCTCGGGAGGAGCTGAAGTAGATGCATGGACTGGAGCAGGTTCTGGAGCTGATTCAATGGCTGGAGCGGGCCCTGGAAAGGCTTCAAGGAATGGAGCGGGCTCTGGAGCTGATTCGAGGACTGAAGCAGGCTCTGGAGCCGATTCAAGGACTGGAGTGGGCTCTGGCACGGACTCGAGCGAATGGAAGTTTCTGAAGCCGTGTGCTCTCTTGAGCGTTGGTTCTCAACTAGTAGGACACGACCCAAAAATAGGACACATGCTGCGTTCAAGTCATGTCAGAATGAATGTATTTATGGGTTGAGTGAAGATGGACACCACCATAAAGTTGTAGTTACCGGTGTGATTTAGTATTTTCCTTATTGTGCCCTTCAAGTAGAGTTGGAAATATCATAATTGCGAAATCCAAACACATGAATGTCTGAGTGAAGTAATGTTTATGAGTGAGATGATACATAAGCTGTGACAATGGAAAAGGGGGTGATGATTTAACAAATTGTGGAAACACTAATATCATATATCTGTAATCTATAGAGATTAGTGAGCAGAAAGCAATTTGTAGTGAATTATAACTATTTTTGCAAGTTAATCAACAAGGTTTGCTTTATGTAACACATTGAGTTTTGATATGCATAAATAAGTGAGAGAATAATTAATTGTCATCATTTTGAATTCAGATGTAGTTGTGATGTGACATGTTGAAAAAACTAATGCCCAACGCTGAGGTACTCTGAGTTTCCCATGTGCACTTGAAGGCAGTATAAGAAATTAAGAATTATGGCAGAATCAAACTGGTATTGTTCGTGATAAACTGTAATTGTGAATGTTGATGACACAATTGCTGCTGAAGATTCTGCTCATTTAACTGATTTATGAGGAGACAGACTTGTACGACCAACTGCATTTCCCATCATTCTCTGTGGCAGCACGAGAATGAAAAAATACACAGATAAAACACCAATTACACACCTAATGTGAATTCTTTGCTCTTCATTTTGTTAGGTTACTGATATGCATTCTGGGTTTGTTAAGAAGTGAAAAAAGAGAAGGCAATAGATGTGTCATTTGAAAGCAGTGGTAATTATAATTTCTATGTAAGTTCAAACTCAGAAGGACTTGAATGCAGCATTAGTTCTGTTCTGATAGGGACACAGTCAATAGGAAACAATGGTTTAAAAAAAGCATGCTAAATGCAAATTCAGCTTGCCATATACAGTATGCATGCATAGAACAGAAAAATTATTAAGCTCAGAAATGTATAGGCACTTTGCATTTCGTTTATTCTGCAGCTTCACTTGTAGTTTGTGTCAAACACATTTTTTTAATTGAATTGTTAGCTGCCGACAGCATAAAACCATTAATAAACACTACATTGAAATGTGTATGCACTTGCATAAGCCGTACATTGACTGTGCATTTCTCATATTCAGAAGCCTAATAAAATATTTTGCTCAGTGTTTGTTGTTTTATGCATTGATCTATTAACAACACATCCGTGTTGATCTGCAAAAATGTCAATATTCTGCCTATGTCATTAATAATTTTGCAAAAGTTTGGGCCTATGCACATGGCTGGACAGGCAGAGAGTTCATAAACGGCTTCCTTGAATGTGGCAGGGTAGACAGGGAGTTCATAAGTGGGCATCACTGCCTTGAGAGGAGCTGAAGTGGTCGCCGCCCCCTCGGGAGGCCCCGCAGCAGAAGCTGCCAACTCGGGAAGAGCTGGAGCAGACTCATGGACTGGAGCGGGTTCTGGAGCAGATTCAAGGACTGGAGCTGACTCAGGAGGAGTAACAGAGCAGTGAGTAGCCCAAACACACAGGATGGCGACCGCCATTACAGAGAGCACTGAGCCTAGGGGAACAGTCTCTGTGACAGCCAGTTCTGAGGCCCTTGGGATGCCTGCTGCTCACACCGACATCAACGGTGGGTCTGTCAGACTGGAAGCCATCTTGTGAAGAGACTCAGAGCTGGCGGCTATGACAGGATGAGACTCTGGAATGGGGGTTACTGCGGGAGTGCTGCGTTACTCCTCCATGACTCCCACAGTAAATTGAGAACTACTTAATTGCAATGCAATATCAATATACTGTTCAAGAGTCCAATTAGGTTCATGAAGTGGCATACAGTAGCTGAGTGGCTCAGAAAGCCCTCCTTGAAAAAATATAATTGAACATACTACGTCCAATGAGGTTGATGTGATGTTGATGTGACCAATGAGGTCTGCCAGTTCAGAAAGTCTCTTACATATTCCTCCATTGTCCAATTCCCCTGTTGGAGATGATTTGTGCGACTGATTTGTGCGACTGGATTCATATTTGTTGGTCTGGAAAAACTCACAAAGCTGCTGGATCTGGGTTTGGCTGAATATTCTGCAACATCGGAGGCGTGACCACAGAGTTGAAGATCCATCTGCAGGCTTTATTTTAAAAGAGTGGTCAACACAGGCAGGGTCAAACACCAGCAAACAGGTATAATCCAGGGCAGACAAAAGATTAATCCAATAAACAGGCAATGGTCAGGGCAGGCAGAAAACTATTAAAAAACAAGGTAAACAGTCCATGGTCAAAAACACGAAGGCAAGGCAAGAAAACACGGATACTAGGGAAAGGTTACAGGCTAACAATATTCAGCAACGTGAGTGTGAGTGCATCCTTTATAGTCATCCTTATTTAAAATTAGGTGAAGTCCGATAATGAGTTCCTAGGCTGGGGTTCTGGGAAATGGAGTACGGGGTAGAGTGGCAACAGTCACGAGAGTGCCCTCTGGTGGAGTTAATGGGGACTCCAGCTGGAGATTGTGACAGTACTAAAAACAGAAAGTTTTTCCTTTGCATTTTTGAAAAGTTTTGTGCACAGACCAAAGCATTGTCAAAATGGTTCCCATTCACACGGATCTGCGAAAACAGTTAAAAATGTTATATTATGCACATGGCTGTACCCAGGCTTTGAAAATTAGTGGGGCGGGGGCGGGGTTAAAGAATTGTGTTATAATAACCCCTACAAATAGAACTCATTATATACACTATAAACCTTTTAAATGAGACAGACATGTAGATGTTTGTGAAAGATGATCATACCCTATTTATTGCATCACAATTTGTTAATACTTTACTATATTTAAGGGTGGATAAATTTATCAGTTGTTTATTGCAACATTACATAACTACAATAACTTTGTCTAGTGCTCTTATGAAAGTTTATAGCACGATTTGTGAAAATTCAACTATACTGAATGACATGGCAGTGCCTAGCAGTTTTAGCAGAATCTGTTTCTCCACAGTCTCATTCTTTGCCTATGTCTGCAACCCCTGCTGGTTCTAGCAGATAAGCTCTGTTTGTCTGAAAAGTGGTGATGCCCTGTTTTGATACTTTGCCAAAGCAGCTCTTGAAAGGCAGTGTGATTAATGAGCCAGAATTGCATTACTCTTTGCATAAGGGAGGAACGGTGACCTCCATTGCCTCCAAAATCATCAGGATACCTAACACTGTCGACTAAACACTGTTTAAATAAACAGAGCAAGCCCTTAGATGGCACACCACTTTCAATTACATTTGCCCTCATTATGCAGTTTGAAGCTTTATGTTGTGAAATTTGCTGAAATATTTCCCACTTTTATTTAGCTTTGATCTGCCATTTGTGATTCTCTGTCCAAAAAAAGTCAGAGGAGCGGCCTCCACGTGGTGATGCTTTTGGCACCTTTAACAAGCTTTGGTCTGATCCATAACTACAATAACTTTGTCTAGTGCTCTTATGAAAGTTTATAGCACGATTTGTGAAAATTCAACTATACTGAATGACATGGCATAGACTTCTTCATGGCTAGTTTTTGCATGTTTCTTTTCATTCTTTAACCTACTTGTTCTACAGATCTGTGTGTACTAGTGTTAAATGCTACTGTTTTTGACAGCGTTGATAACGTTTATGACAGATAATATCATGATAATTTTTGCGTTTCCCTTACCGAATGTCGTATCCTGTCAGCAAAAACCTGTCCATGGGCTTTTTTGATTGCTTTCAGTTTAAGTGCCGGCGATGCAGTGTTGCCAGATATTGATACTAAAACAAACAAAAAACTAAAAATAAATAAATAAACTGAAATTATTTCCAATCTTTTGCAAATAAGATAAGATAACAATATTGCTGACAACTTCCTACTTTATTAACTTTCTAAAGTGTTAAATTAAGTGGAAAAGACAAGTCCAAAAACGATAGGCAAAGTAGTATCGGCACAGGCAAAACTGCTTGCGTTTGAACTTGTGTGACGTTCATGATCTCATTCACATCTGCATTCCCAACCCATCACTTTTGGGTTACTGATTATAAACGATTTACAACCCAAACTGGGTCAAACCAACTTCTTCACCTAACAATCTCAACCCAGTGTTTTTTAGAGTGTAGCCTACTACCTTAACATAGCGGTAATTGGTTAAGAAAAGCTCTTTCTCAGGGTGACACACATGTTTTTGATCAGGAGTTGAGGAAGCGGGATAGGATCTTACACAACAGTCTAACAGCAGAGGCTAATTGCTAGTTTTAATCAGCCTAGAAATTCAACAACTGTATTTTTAAACATATAATAAATAACAAGTTAAAAGATTAGCCCATGTTATTTAATTTAAATTGAACTTCTCTTTATTTGCATGGGATTTTTGTCCAACACAAACTCTCTGTTGTTCCAGTAAGGTGTTAAAGTGATTCTGTACTGTATAGCATGTCATCGCATTCCCTCAAGAATGTCCAAATGTCAGTTCCTACACCCACCAGGAACAGAGACTTCCTGAGTTCTTTAGACAGTGACAGTATAATACTCGCATCTTATGAAACTCCAACCCACATCCACTTATATTTACCACAGCAGTCTTAAGAAAGCTTCCTAAAGAAATGTTTGCTGCTCTCAAAACACTGAACACAAGCTCTGTTGACGGCATTTGTGACATAATGCATACTGGTCACTGCAAATAATAATTTAAAATCTTCTCTGTTTGTAGTAGCACACTTAGAATAGAAGTAAACCAGGCCAACATACCAAAGCAGAAATGTGAAGCTTGTATTTTTTTAAAGCACTTACATTAATTATTCAGTAAAAACCTGTTCATTATTAGAGCTATTACCTAAAGCTGTTATTTTTGAGGTGGGAATACTATGTGGACGAACATCTGTATATTTACAGTATATATAGTATACTGTATATATGTACAGTATATTTTCTCCAAGTAAATTGTTTTTAATGGATAGTTACCTAATGTGAAAACAGCATGCCCTTAATTGTACTG